TGGCACCTTCCTCCCCAGGGCGCGTTGTCGTCCCCGCCGCTCCGGGTCGTCCTCCGCCCCGTGGCGCGTGCGGAGCCGCCCGCCTGCCCGTGCTCTCCCTGGCGGTGCCAGCCTGCCCGTGCTCCCTGGGAGTCATCGCTGCATTTTTCGTTTAGCCAGAGTGACTTTTGTTTTTTTCTTTCTGCTGTTCGTGCTGTTTTCCTGAAATGGTCTGGAATGTAATAGACCAAGACAATCATTGATGTGAAATATTTCCCGCATAAAACATGCAGCAGCTATTCAGAAAGGAAGATCTAGTGGAATGAGGGCTGCCTGGCAAAGATTTAAAGGTGCTGACACGTTCCTATAGGTTGTTTACTGTAGGTATCCTCTCCTAAGCCCCAGTTTTAAGACTGCCTTTCAAAAGAGGGCACAAAATAAAATTTAGCCAGGAGCTTTAATAATTCAAGCTGCCGTGCGCTGAGCTTTTTGTTGCCCTTCTGGGAAGGAAGCCTCATTTCAAAGGACCTTGACTTTCCTCTTACGGTGCCAGAGAAGTGGCACTGCCAGAGCTATTTTTGCACCGGGACGCAGGTTGGGCATGAAGCCTGTCTCAGGTGGCTGTGCCAGCAAACCCAGGCAAGCGAGACGTGGATGCTTATGGCCGGATTTCCCGAAGGATCCCGACCCCGTGCAGCACCGGCCGATTCCAGGGAGTCTGTGGGTGCTCTCTAGCTGTAGAAATCAAGCCAGCCGGGCATCCGGCATTGTACAGAAACCTCATCAGTGCTCTTGGTGCAAAGACCTACCCGTCTGTCCCCCGCCGTGGCGCAGAGGGAGGGCAGGGGTGCTGGGGCACCGGCGGTGCCCTGCGCAGGCTGGGCAAGGGCAGTGCCCCGGCTCAGTGGCAGGAGGACCGGGGTCCTCGGCCTCCTCCTTGGAGCTTGAGAAAAAGGAGAATTTTGTGCGTGCCCAAAAGTGGCAGGTTTCCCCTTATGTCGGCGCGTACCCCCGTGCAACGGAGAGCAGCCGTGCGCCCTCACGGCTCAGTATTTCATCCCCAAACGAGCACGAGCCTCCCTGACACCTCGCGCTGCTTCCCACGTGGCCCCCTCCCTTCTCTCCTCTCCGTCATCCGCTCTCCTCCTTCCAGCTGGGTTTGGGCAACCTCGGCCTAATTCCAGTGACTGGATAGTAGTGTTTGGTAGCAGACTCAGCCTGTGAGCAGTTATGTTCCAGATGCAGATGCACCGTCTGGTTAAGGCCTCTGCCTCTTATTCCGACTGATAGTAGGCAAATCAGTAGACAAAACTGTCTCATACAGAGGCAAGTAATAAAGAAATACAGGGCAGTAAAGAGTCCTATTTTTAGACTGGACTGTTTGTTGTTACCAGCCCAAGCATGAGGTTCAGGCTGAGAGATCTGATGAGGTTGGCGACCTGAGGTTGCCCTGGTAATTTCAGGCCTGTGTGTGTCTGGCAGCCCTGGGCATTTAAGAAACGTGTCTTGTTCCAGATGTTAAAATGACGTGATTTGGTTTTGTTTGGCGGCGAGAGGAATCATACCTTCCAGCTACAGAGGTGTGGGAGATGCCGAAGGCTCTGGGGGCTGGCGGAAAGCCCCTGCGGGCCCCGTCTTGCCAAGCGCTTGCACCCGGCAGACCCGCAGCCCTCCTCACAGCACCCCCCGAGTAGAAACTAATATTTTGTTAACTCTGTCCTCCCCCCACACTTCGTTCCTCTGCTGCAAGTGATGCCTGTTCCCAGCCCCTGAGCTATCCAGCTTTGTCCCAGGTAGCTTTCGGTATCAGGGAGAAAAGCAGGTTTCTGCTGCCACCTCGTGATGGGAGAAGTGCCCTCAACTGGCTGTGCGGGTTTGGATTGGTGTGGTGATGTTAGGTGCCAGTACCTGAAAGTCTGTCTTTGCAATAGAAACAGGAGGCTAGAAGCTGGTTTTTAGGAATTCCAACTTTATGAGTCAGCTGACTTCAAGTGATCTCCAATTGCTCGTGCAGTTTGGGCAGTGGAGCAGAGCTCCAGCTCCCTGCAGTTTCTCCGGGATCGAGTCTGTAGGGTGGGAACTGGAAAGCGGGACCAGTCCAACAGAGGCCCAGGAAGCGTTGCCCAGGCCGCGATGAACGTGGCTCCGGTGCCTGTGCTCGCTACGGGCTTCTCGGTGTCTGCAAGCAGCAGTGCTCCCCTCCCTTTGGCAGGCTTGTAAGCACACTGGCAATCTCCAAAAGACGACCGTAAAATCATGGGGAAATAATGATGAGAAATGTGCACGTGCGTGGAAAGGGGGAAAGGCAGGACCTGTTTGGCAGCGTGTGAATTCCCGAGGCCCGGGACGGGAACCTCCGGTAACAGCGTGGGTGCGAGCGCGGCCCCCGCGGCCGAAGGGCTTCCTTGGGAGGGCAGCGCTGGTAGCAGCGACGGGCCGAGACCCAAAACGGGCCGTGCGCGGCTGTACCAGCCTGCC